CATTTCACCAAGCTTTCAATCTGTTTAGCGGAATTATAATCTTCATTACGACATTTCAACACTTAAACTGACAAAGGCAAGGGCACAAAAGGCAGTTTTATCTTTTATACGCACTGAACTCGACCCCAAACAGACAAGCATGCCAGTAATGCCACGCGCGTTGCCGAGCAAGGACGTACGTGGCCAAATGGTTACCGCACTTGGCTGTCACACAGAGGCTCCAGGTTCGATTCGAGGGAGCTGAATGCTCTTTTATTTATTCTTTCAACTTGGCGTTCTTGTAAGTTCGAGAACATTGTCGTCCGATTGAGTTTCAGACGTTCTGCGAGACGAAAGTTCTACGCAGAATGTTCCAGAAACTCACGCGGGTACAAGAGGTGCTCTGCGTGGTGAGCCGGAGTCAGTCTCGACCCAACGCTTGATCCTGCCGTCACGCTGCCATCAACGCTAGGCTTTCTCATATTTGTTTTGGGCACAAGTTCGCCCCATGAAACATTTAGTTTGTTTCAGTTTTCGTCGCCTTATCAATTGTCATTCGTGACAATATAATAAGAACCAACCACCTTGATTTGAAGTTAAAATTAAAAAAACGGTAGCTGTGAAACACCAAGATAGAAGCTAAAGCAATCCCAGAAATATACAATTGTGCTCTCCGGTATTTTAATTTTCAAGTAAACTACATAGCGTATAATTTTAATGGAACAGGATAATGCCATGCAACAATTTTTTCGCTGATGATAAATTCTGCATAAACATAATCCTTGATGCTCTTAACCTACAAAACACAATTTTTCTCTCCACACTATGGTAGTTGCAAAAAAAAAAGACTAAAACAAGCAGCCTTCTCCCACTTAACTTGCAGCCAGTACAAGTTGCCATGCGATCTGCTATTACTTATATGCCGTTCATCAAAGCCATGGGCTGGGGATGGTAAAGCATGTAGCATGCAGCATGTGGTGAGCTCCAAACAATCTTCAACGTTGGCTATTCTTGTGCAGAGGTTAGCCAAGAGCCACTACCCAAATGCACCGATTGTCAAGAGCCCAGCTCGATTGTTCATGCAGTTCTCCTCAAAAACTCAGGTGTCTCATTTAGCTATCGTCACCACATGGTGCTCCCCCTGACTGTAACCAGGGTTATCTTCGGGGCGATATTATATAGCAAATGACGTTTTAGCAAATAGGCTGTTCATAGCCTTCGGCAAAGTAGGCTTCCAGCAGACCATGCTACATGCACTCACCCTTTACTGTCGCTTGGGGGAAATGAGATTATCAAGCTCAAGCGTGAACCACCTAGGGCAGGAATAACCAAACTGCTCTTTGCGGGCCGAAGTGCGGCTCTCGTGGGGCTCAAATTAAAATAGTTTGGCTGAAACACGAAACTTTATAAAAATGTTACAGTGGGGAACAGGTGGAAAACATGACATTAATAATACTGGGTTTGAAGCAGGCACGTAGCCAGGAAAGGGACCCATGGAGTTGCCTCTTCAATCTTCAATTTTGCTGGGGCCTCCTCTCCTCTCTCCCCCTCATACAGGATTTTGTCCTGTATGATGGGAGGGAGTCAAAATCCTGGCTACGAGCCTGGGTTGAAGTTGCGATTTCGTTGTCAATACGCATCTTTATTGGCCTCCTGATCCAATAAAGATCAATATAAATTTTACATTAAGTTGTACTAATGGTCAGGTGGAGGCAAATCAGCTAGAACATAATCTATTGCTTTTATTTTCTAGCTTCTTTGCAACATCCTCGCATGGTAAGATGAGGCAGCATTAGCTTTGTGTGAAACGTTCTGCCCAAAATTGTTTACAACCTTTGCTTATTGACCTACATTTTCATTTCATTTCATTTATTTACCTCAAGGGCGTCTTTGAGGACGCATTACATGAGGGGGGTAGGTGGTACATGCATTTGTAACAACATAGTCACACAATTTTCAAACACAGTCATTGTTATAACAAAATCATTGCAATCAGCCCAGCACAGTTTACAAAAAGGAAGTCACATCGTACGTACACAACTGCAATTTTGAACTGGACGTAACTATATATAAAACAACAATTTCAATATGAAAAAACGGAAAGTGACTATGAAAACAACAAACAAGCATGTACGTGTACTATTCATGCCACAGGCGCTCGCACATTGTTTTAAATTCAACGGGATTTGTGTTAGTAACCATCTCGTCTGGCAAGTTATTCCATTCAGTAATCAATAATATTAAGGGTGAAAACAGGAAGGAATTAGTGTGTGACTGGTATTGCTGCACCTTACAGGAATTATCGGTTCGAGGAGAAATATAATGTGCGGAATGACAATGGGTGCTTTTAAAGCACGAGTTGCTGTAGTACAAGTCATGAAAGTAACATATGCGGTAAATATTGCGCCGGGTAGACAATGGAGCCAGACCCAAATTTATTTTTAAAGCTGAGACACTAGTTTGAGGCGAAAAGTCGTTTGATATGAACCGGGCTGCTTTGCTTTGGACAGATTCTAATTTGGAAGAAAGATAATTTTGATGCGGATGCCATATGATACTTGCATATTCTAGTTTAGGGAGAATAATTGTTTTATATGCTAGCAGTTTTGTTGAAGTGGGGGCCAGGTGTAGGGTGCGCCTTAAGAAACCTAGAGATTTAAATGAGTTGGTGACTAAGTTATCGATCTGTTGTTTCCATGAGAGAGTTTCAGAGATGTTTACTCCTAAGTATTTGTATAGTGAAACACATTCAAGTTGCTGCATGAGTAATGTATATTGGCTGTATGATTTGTTTGATTTCATAGTAACGGTCATTTTGGAGGACATTATGGTCTGTCGGGTCTAAGATTTTTCTATAAATAACACAATCATCTGCGAATAGGCGGATGGTTGAGGTAATCGAAGAGGGAAGATCGTTGATATAAATGACTTATCGACCTACATTTGCTTATTAAAATTGTTCTTTTACAAATGATGCAATGCAGCAGCCTAATGAAGAAACGAGGTCACTGTTCCGGGTATGCACACAATCAGTAAAAGCTACTAAGCCGAGTCATCTAATATATCCTCTTGATGAAAGCGTTTGGTTATAGCGTGAAATCAAAGCACTACGAAACATAATTTCAACATTTTAACCAAACTTTAAGTATGATGAAGAAGGCTTTATAAAATAATGCCAAGAGCACATGAAAGAAACAATATTTCCATCATGTACCTACGCCGCCGCCCCGCCCTGCCCGCCCTCCCCCAAACCATATGTAGAGCGAGTTTGGTCAATAAAAGGAACGGGCAGAGCCAGGGCGTGCGCCAGACGCAGAAAGGAGGCTTGACGTGCTCACCCAATCAGAAACCGAAAAACACCCCTAGCGGTGGTAGCGAGAAACAGTTTTAATAGGCGCATAAGAGTTAAATGTAGTAACTCTTTAAAGTTGAAAATATGGTCCACATGATGTTTCAATTATGATCATGGAAAAAGATGTAAGAATTGAATGTGCCGCTTGAACTCTGTTTTGCTCGGACAAAGTCTGACCGCTCAGACGGCAGATTCCCGGCTCTCGGCCCCTGGCATGTGGATTATATCATTCATTCTGCTAGGTTTTTATTTTGCATGACCATGAACGAAAAATCACGTGCAGCATATTTTCAGCCACCAAAAGTTACTCCGACGCACATATTTATTTTGTTTCTCGTGACCACCAGGGTATGATTGGCGGCTTCTGGCTGGCCTCATTCGAATTTGTGAAGGTGACCTGGAACACACCCAGCCTGCTTTCGATCAATGGCGCCACATCATTTACCTCCTATACATCCTACCTTACGGCGAACTCTCTCTAAATACAACTCTTATCCCCCTCCCCTCCCCCTCCCACCCCGATGCAGCTCTCGAAACATGAACAACTTTGCTTGTGGCTCTTGGACATTGTCAGTGTGGCCACCCCGGACCTAGGGTTTACCGCAGAGGGTTCAGTAAGCTAACCTACCAAACCATAGAGCCATTGCTAACATGAATGCCACCATTAGCTGAAGTGCCGTTCAATGAAATGTCGTGGTTTTGTTTTCGTTTCTTAAAACATTTTTCGATCAAGTGAATGCCTCCTATCATCTTCACAGTTACAACAGTGAGCTTAGAAAAAAATAATAATGCAAAACATGGCTTTCTTTTAACCTTAAATTCATTTCCCAACAGAAACTTCTGGGTTTATCGTGCTACATGGAAGTATACTGAGGACAAACTAGTGCTAGTATGCGTGCAATGAGATAAGCATTCGAACCCGATATGTTTGATCTGCCCCTTTATATCACACGGAACTAAATAAAAAAGAAACCACGACACCACTTCATTACATCCAGAAAGTTTGTGGAGACTGCAAAATAGTAGAGTTACTACAAAGATATTACATCTGCTAACAACCAACAGGGAGCTTTGAGGCAGATGAGTAACCCAAGAACAAACTTGCCTTCAAGTCTCCGCCTCAGCGTTCTGGACGATGGCAATGGGAAGCCCCCCTCCAGCATCAGGTCGTAGCCCGTGCTGCCACAGGCAAATCGCATCTGCAAAGACTTTTTAACAGTCTCGTTAGACCACTTGGATCCCCTGTTGCTAGTTCTTGACAAAGCTAACAGTTGATCCGCAGTGAAGATCTTGCGCAAGTGTGTGTGGAATGTAGCTTCCCGTGTCTTCTGCAAAGCAGCCTGCCTCACCAAGCGGCGGTTCTCATTCTCCAGGTGCTTAATTCTCCTCTTCATCTGAAGAATTACATCTTCGGTGAGTCTAGGTGAAATGAGCGATGGACATACAGGGTGCAGGGTCCTTGTCGACGTCCCGGCCACTGCTTCCTGGAATCATGGCATGGGAACCAAATGATTCTCCACGTCACAAAATCAATCCAAGCTGCGTAGGAACCATGGGAGTACATACCCTGCTGGTGGAGGCTCCGTCGCTAGATGCCTTCGCACCGGTCTGGAGATGCTGCATGGCCTCTGCTGCCTGCTGTAAAAAGTGTGGTGGTGTCATTTCACAGCTACGCAGGTCTCATGAAGACACTTACGTAGCACAACCCGCTGGTTGTGGTGAAGGGCGCTGTCCGAAGACAGGCCTGCAGGGTTCCCCTTGAGGTCCCGGCCGCTGCTTCCTGCAACCACGGCATGGGGACCGAATGATGCTCTGTGTCACAAGATCGATGCCAGCTGTGCGAGAACCATGGGACATACCCTGCTGGTGGAGGCTCCATCGCTAGATGGCTCTGCACCGGTCTGGAGATGCTGCATGGCCCCTGCTGCCTGCTGTAAAGAGTGCGGTGGTGTTACCTCAGGGCTACGCAGGTCTCTTGAAAACACTTACGTAGCACAACCCGCTGGTTGCCGTAAAGGGCGTCGTCCCAAAAGAGGCCTGCAGGGTTCCCGAGGTCCTGGCTGCTGCTTCCTGCAATCATGGCATGGGAACAGAATGATGCTTCGCATCACAAGATCTATTCAAGCTGTGCAGGAACCATGGGACATACCCCACTGCTGGAGGCTCCGCCGTGGAATGTTTCCGCATCAGCCTGGAGCTGCTGCATGGCCCCTGCTGCCTGCTGTAAAGAGTGCGGTGGTGCTACTTCAGGGCTAGACAGGTCCCCTAAAGACACTTACGTAGCATATCCCGCTGGTTGTGGTGAAGGGCGCTGTCCGAAGACAGGCCTGCAGGGTTCCCCTTGAGGTCCCGGCCGCTGCTTCCTGCAACCACGGCATGGGGACCGAATGATGCTCTGTGTCACAAGATCGATGCCAGCTGTGCGAGAACCATGGGACATACCCTGCTGGTGGAGGCTCCATCGCTAGATGGCTCTGCACCGGTCTGGAGATGCTGCATGGCCCCTGCTGCCTGCTGTAAAGAGTGCGGTGGTGTTACCTCAGGGCTACGCAGGTCTCTTGAAAACACTTACGTAGCACAACCCGCTGGTTGCCGTAAAGGGCGTCGTCCCAAAAGAGGCCTGCAGGGTTCCCGAGGTCCTGGCTGCTGCTTCCTGCAATCATGGCATGGGAACAGAATGATGCTTCGCATCACAAGATCTATTCAAGCTGTGCAGGAACCATGGGACATACCCCACTGCTGGAGGCTCCGCCGTGGAATGTTTCCGCATCAGCCTGGAGCTGCTGCATGGCCCCTGCTGCCTGCTGTAAAGAGTGCGGTGGTGCTACTTCAGGGCTAGACAGGTCCCCTAAAGACACTTACGTAGCATATCCCGCTGGTTGTGGTGAAGGGCGCTGTCCGAAGACAGGCCTGCAGGGTTCCCCTTGAGGTCCCGGCCGCTGCTTCCTGCAACCACGGCATGGGGACCGAATGATGCTCTGTGTCACAAGATCGATGCCAGCTGTGCGAGAACAATGGGACATACCCTGCTGTTGGAGGCTCCATCGCTAGATGGCTCCACACCGGTCTGGAGATGCTGCATGGCCCCTGCTGCCTGCTGTAAAGAGTGCGGTGGTGTTGCCTCAGGGCTACGCAGGTCCCTTGAAGACACTTACGTAGCACATCCCGCTGGTTGCCGTAAAGGGCGTCGTCCCAAGACAGGCCTGCAGGGTTCCCCTTGAGGTCCCGGCCGCTGCTTCCTGCAACCACGGCATGGGGACCGAATGATGCTCTGTGTCACAAGATCGATGCCAGCTGTGCGAGAACAATGGGACATACCCTGCTGGTGGAGGCTCCATCGCTAGATGGCTCCGCACCGGTCTGGAGATGCTGCATGGCCCCTGCTGCCTGCTGTAAAGAGTGCGGTGGTGTTGCCTCAGGGCTACGCAGGTCCCTTGAAGACACTTACGTAGCACATCCCGCTGGTTGCCGTAAAGGGCGTCGTCCCAAGACAGGCCTGCAGGGTTCCCCTTGAGGTCCCGGCCGCTGCTTCCTGCAACCACGGCATGGGGACCGAATGATGCTCTGCGTCACAAGATCGATGCCAGCTGTGCGAGAACAATGGGACATACCCTGCTGGTGGAGGCTCCATCGCTAGATGGCTCCGCACCGGTCTGGAGAGGCTGCATGGCCCCTGCTGCCTGCTGTAAAGAGTGCGGTGGTGTTGCCTCGGGGCTACGCAGGTCCCTTGAAGACACTTACGTAGCACATCCCGCTGGTTGCCGTAAAGGGCGTCGTCCCAAGACAGGCCTGCAGGGTTCCCCTTGAGGTCCCGGCCGCTGCTTCCTGCAACCACGGCATGGGGACCGAATGATGCTCTGCGTCACAAGATCGATGCCAGCTGTGCGAGAACAATGGGACATACCCTGCTGGTGGAGGCTCCATCGCTAGATGGCTCCGCACCGGTCTGGAGATGCTGCATGGCCCCTGCTGCCTGCTGTAAAGAGTGCGGTGGTGTTGCCTCAGGGCTACGCAGGTCCCTTGAAGTCACTTACGTAGCACATCCCGCTAATTGCCGTAAAGGGCGTCGTCCAAAGACAGGCCTGCAGGGTTCCCCTTGAGGTCCCGGCCGCTGCTTCCTGCAACCACGGCATGGGGACCGAATGATGCTCTGTGTCACAAGATCGATGCCAGCTGTGCGAGAACAATGGGACATACCCTGCTGGTGGAGGCTCCATCGCTAGATGGCTCCGCACCGGTCTGGAGATGCTGCATGGCCCCTGCTGCCTGCTGTAAAGAGTGCGGTGGTGTTGCCTCAGGGCTACGCAGGTCCCTTGAAGACACTTACGTAGCACATCCCGCTGGTTGCCGTAAAGGGCGTCGTCCCAAGACAGGCCTGCAGGGTTCCCCTTGAGGTCCCGGCCGCTGCTTCCTGCAACCACGGCATGGGGACCGAATGATGCTCTGCGTCACAAGATCGATGCCAGCTGTGCGAGAACAATGGGACATACCCTGCTGGTGGAGGCTCCATCGCTAGATGGCTCCGCACCGGTCTGGAGATGCTGCATGGCCCCTGCTGCCTGCTGTAAAGAGTGCGGTGGTGTTGCCTCGGGGCTACGCAGGTCCCTTGAAGACACTTACGTAGCACATCCCGCTAATTGCCGTAAAGGGCGTCGTCCAAAGACAGGCCTGCAGGGTTCCCGAGGTCCCGGCTGCTGCTTCCTGCAATCATGGCATAGGAACAGAATAATGCTTCGCATCACAAGATCTATTCAAGCTGTGCAGGAACCATGGGACATACCCCACTGCTGGAGGCTCCGCCGAGGAATGTTTCTGCACCAGTCTGGAGCTGCTGCATGGCCCCTGCTGCCTGCTGTAAAGAGTGTGGTGTTGCTACTTCAGGGCTAGACAGGTTTCTGGAAGACACTTACGTAGCACAACCCGCTGGTTGCTGTAAAGGGCATTGTCCCAAAACAGGCCTGCAGGGTTCCCGAGGTCCCGGCCGCTGCTTCCTGGAATCATGGCATGGGAAAAAAATGATGCTTCGCATCACAAGATCCATCCAAGCTGTGGAGAAACCATGGAACATACCCCGCTGCTGGAGGCTCCGCCGAGGAATGTTTCCGCACCAGTTTGGAGCTGCTGCATGGCCCCTGCTGCCTGCTGTGAGGAGTGCGGTGGTGTTGCCTCAGGGCTACACAGGTCCCTTGAAGACACTTACATAGCATATCCCGCTGGTTGCCGTAAAGGGCGTCGTCCCAAGACAGGCCTGCAGGGTTTCCGAGGTCCCGGCTGCTGCTCCCTACAATCATGGCATGGGAACAAAATAATGCTCCACATCACAAGATCCATCCAAGCTGTGCAGGAACCATGGGACATACCCCGCTGCTGGAGGCTCTGCCGTGGAATGTCTCTGCACCAGTCTGGAGCTGCTGCATCGCCCCTGCTGCCTGCTGTAAAGAGCACGGTGGTGCTACTTCAGGGCTACACAGGTCCCTTGAAGACACTTACGTAGCATATCCCGCTGGTTGTGGTGAAGGGTGCTGTCCGAAGACAGGCCTGCAGGGTTCCCCTTGAGGTCCCGGCCGCTGCTTCCTGGAATCATGGCATGGGAACGAAATGATTTTTCACGTCACGAAATCAATTCAAGCTGTGTAGGCACCATGGGAGTACATACCTTGTTGGTGGAGGCTCCATCGCTAGATGGCTCTGCACCGGTCTGGAGATGCTGCATGGCCCCTGCTGCCTGCTGTAAAGAGTGCGGTGGTGTTACCTCAGGGTTACGCAGGTCTCTTGAAGACACTTACGTAGCACAACCCGCTGGTTGCCGTAAAGGGCGTCGTCCTAAGACAGGCCTGCAGGGTTTCCGAGGTCTCGGCTGCTGCTCCCTGCAATCATGGCATGGGAACAGAATGATGCTCCGCGTCACAAGATCCATCCCAGTTGTGCAGGAACCATGGGACATACCCCGCTGCTGGAGGCTCCACCGAGGAATGTTTCTGCACCAGCCTGGAGCTGCTGCACGGTGCCTGCTGCCTGCTGTAAAGAATGTGGTGGTGTTACCTCAGGGCTACGCAGGCCTCTAGAAGGAAGACACTTACGTAGCGCAACCCGCTGGTTGCCGTAAAGGGCGTCGTCCCAAGACAGGCCTGCAGGGTTTCCGAGCTCCCAGCTGCTGCTCCCTACAATCATGGCATGGGAACAAAATAATGCTCCACATCACAAGATCCATCCAAGCTGTGCAGGAACCATGGGACATACCCCGCTGCTGTAGGCTCCGCCGAGGAATGCTTCTGCACTGGTCTGAAGATGCTGCATGGCCCCTGCTGCCTGCTGTGAGGAGTGCGGTGGTGTTGCCTCAGGGCTACACAGGTCCCTTGAAGACACTTACGTAGCATATCCCACTGGTTGCGGTGGAAGGCGCTGTCCGAAGACAGGCCTGCAGGGTTCCCATCGAGGCCCCGGCTGCTGGTTCCTGCAATTCCAGCATGGGAAAAGAATGATGCTCCGCGTCACAAGATCACTCCACGCTGTGCAAGAACCATGCAACATAACCTGGTAGTGGGGGTGGTTCTCATTTTAACCGATTCACACTTTTTGTTCTTGTATGTGCCTTCACATTTTAACCTTCTCAAAATAACTCCTTTTCTCATTTCGACTCTTCTCAAAACAAACTTTCTAATTTTATCCCCTCTCAATCTCAGTTTTACAGATTTCAGAAAAACTATTTTATTTTGAATCTTCTTGAAACAACTATCATTTTATCCCTTCTCAATAAAACTCATTTTTACAGCCCTCAAAAAAACTTTTGCGATCGGACCCTTCTCAAAACAACCTTTCACTGTTTATCCACTCTCGAAGCAACTTCTTTATTTCAGCGTACTAATTAATTTATCTTTGTGAATGGGAACTTTTGATACTGCTATTAACCTGGATTTCACTAATCAGGCGAACGGGAACGGCACACATTTGTCAGCAGGGTAGTTTGTTCTGGCGGGAAGACTGCCTGAGGATATCGTACATGCAAACTGACATATCGCATACCGATAAAGAGCATGTTCTTAAATCAACCGAGAGTTCCCATTGACAGCCTAGTGAGAGTGCCACTTTCATTTTATTATGTGGACTGCTGTACAGAGAACTTGTAGAAAACTGGTAGCATTGGCATTCATGCCTCTGAGCAATGCTTAGCATGCTTGGGCATACTTACACCAAAATGAGGGCTCCCTTGTTGTCCACATTATTATATCTCTACTTGTCTTCCTTGAAGCCACGGTTACGAGTAGGAAAGTGCTTCAAAATTGGAATCCTGGAAAAAGGGGTGCTCCGACAAACAAACGGGGAAAATCACGAGACAACAATAGTGTCATGCCCGAGAGGGTAAATATTAGGTTATTTCCTTCATTGTTTTTACCAGAAAAAGTGAGGCCCCAACCCGGATCTATATAGAGTGTCCCAGTTATCTCGAACCAAGATTTTTAATAAGATGACTAAGTGCTCTATGCAAACAGAACTAATGTTCTTAGTAGGTGTCTTGGCAAAGAGTCACAATATTTTTATTTAGCCTAATTAATTCATTAAAAGAAATTAGAAGACCTTAAAATGTTGAATCAAGGAAAGGTGTAAATTTGCAAGTTGTAGAGAGCACCCGCTCGACGTGTTTTAACATATGGTATGCTTTGCCTGCTTTTTATTCAAACCTTCAAAGAATGCCTATTCACGGCCCACCTTTGCGCCATAATTGGGTGTTCAAAAATAGCACGTTGTCTCGGGGTACCATATTTGACGGTCATTTCGTAAGGGCTGGACAAAAGACACACACAAGGTGCACTACGATACAAACACCTCACTTCCAATTGACATTTATGCCCTTTTATCAATATTTTAAAATTAGGTCAATTTCTCATTAATTCTTTAATTAGAATCAATGAAAAATACTGCTTTATAGAAAAGGTGACTACTAAAAACAGACAGTTGGTTTTAAAGCACTCCTTTTTTGAAAGCTTGGTTCGACATAGCTGGAACACCCTGAATATGCGCAGGTATAACAAGTGGAAGTTCCAGGTGTGGCAGAGGCCAGAAGTGGGCTAAGAAGAACAGAAATGCCTCGGACATACTGTGCCACTTGGCGACGCAAATTTCTTTGCGTGATTTTCTAAACAAGACTAGGGCAAACTCTCTGCTCCATCTCACCATAAGTCGACGAACAACAAAGGTTACGGCCCACGTGAGCCAATCAGTGCGACGGAGTGAAGCATGGGCACTGTTTCACAGAGGGGTAATGCTCAGTGACGGCGAATGTCAGTGGCTCGCCTTAAAGGGATACTACAACGAAATTTCGGCGCTCATTTTTTGGTCTATATGTGTTCAAAGGAGCAGTATCACATGGAACATACCAATATCTTGTTAAAAAAGTCACAAAAAGGAATTTTAAAACGAATTAAACGATTAGCAAAGAGCACCTGGTGGATGTCGCTAACGCCTCGCTTGTAATGCCCGTCTAGGAACCTTGGCAGCTAGTGACGGAGGTTGTCTCGCCTCCGGCCACGACGAGAGAAGAGGGGCAGCAGGAACTCCCCTCTTCCCGAGAATGCCTTTTGTGTGTCACAGAAGTCGCTATTGTCCCCCTACAAGATTATAGAAGATTAACCCGTCACTCAAACTTTGTACAAAAGCAGCCGCTTCGGTTGCTGGAACGACTACGCTATCCTCTCGACGTCAGCCTCGCCGTAGCTTTGCTCGTCTTGAGACGACCTACGTCACGATTGCGTTGGATGTCACGTGGTCTCCGCTGGGCCTTCTCCGAGCGCTTGCCAGAGTGGGCCGTTTATAACGAAAAATACAGCCACCAGGCTCAAAATACAAATGTGCGATTGTCATTTACGGATATTGTGGATCATATTCAACCTATTTTTGAACACGACGGGAATATTTCAAATTTCGTTGAAGTATCCCTTTAACGATCAAATAGGCTCGTCTGGGAAGCAGCCTTCATTCTTTGTCAAGTTACACTGAAACAGAGTATATTAGCCAGTTTATTTGTATTTTTGACGCCGTTTCTAACCTCCTTTGTGTTCATTCTATCTAAAAGTTGTGAGGGGAAATGAAACTTTAAAATAAAGGCTGACCGAGCATGCCGCAGCATTGGACAAAAGTACAGCATGATGACAAAAGCACCTTAAAGGGGTAGGGAAACAAAATTCCAGCGCTCATTTTCTAGCTTGAATGTGTTGCATGTTGCACCCTAACCTCAAAAACACTAGTCTTCCGTGGAAAGGCACAAGAAAACTAAATTTAAAGCTAAATAAATCAGTGTGTCGAACCGAAAAAAATACGGGTTCGGTTACGGTTCAGGTAAATTAATTTTGTTCCGGTTCAGTTCCAGTTCGATTATTTCATTCCGCGAACCGGTTCGGAAATTCTAAATGACAAATTGCAACATCAAAATAAATTACAAATAAAACATCTGAAATCAGCACATACGAAACGGGATACATCGTAGTGTAAGGCTCAGGGATTTCTACCAGGAATGGTTTCTTTATGTGCACTCAAAGGTTGCCACACCGACGTTTACGCATTCGGACTTCATCTAATTGTGTCCGACGCAGTAGCTGTAAAATCCGCGACCTCCTTACAAACCCACTTACAAGTAGAACTCGCTAACTATCCCGCCACCTCGGCGTGTAAGCAATTGAAGGAACAGTGGGGAGAAAATACAGCTTTCTTTATTTGAACTAGCCTTCGGTAACTCAAATTAGACCCTTAAAGAAGTTTTCATTAAACAAGATACGGAATATGAAAAACACTTCACCGAACGCAATACCAGAAGGACGTAATAGGATAAATATTATAATAGAAGAGTTCGCTGTCTCACATATATGTTAGCTTCTAAGTGCCTATACGAAACCGGATGCATTATTATCAAACTCCACAGCCTTTTCTTTTCTCATTCCGATGGAAGCAAGCTTCAAGAACTCCCGCGTTCTAGAAACGTGTTAGGAAATGAGCACACAGCAGCATTTAGGCTTTACGAGATTGTAGGAAAATGAAATCCCATGACGCGATTATTTTTTTTTTTTTTGCACAGCCTTCCAATTCTCTTTTCCGTGCAAGCCGCGACCAGCGCAATACTGGTTCCTATGTCAAGATTCATAAATGCAGCGTTCATATTCCTAAGACTGAGTGGAGAAGAAAAATATGTAAGCGAGGTGTGTGTCAGTTGACGGCACTTAAAAAACAAATGGTATTGATAGCACAATCATTGTCAACAGCGCGTGGCCTAACCGTTTTGACATGAACCGGTAACCGTTATTTTTTTCCGGTTCAGTTCCGGTTCGGGTTCGGGTTCAGTTCCGGAAAAAATACCAGTTCGGTTCCGGTTCGACACCCTGAAATAAACAATCTTTCAATGTGCACCTGGTGGATGCTGCAGAACCCATTTGGGAGGTAGTCTAGCAACGTTGTGGAATCTGCTATGTAGTCGTGACGTAGCAGATTCCTTCAAAGCAGCGCCGCTCTTTGGCATTTCAACATCTTCCCTCTTAGCTTTCCTCCTCAACTCACAAGTCGCTCATTGTACCAAACGGTCCAAGAAGATGGAAAGGAAGGACTCCCTTCTTTCTCGGACCCTCATTCGTGCAACCGGACACAGCCACTCTCCCCCTAGAAGATTAGCCCGTCACTCAAAACTCGAACAAAAGTTGCTTTCCCCACCCCATTCAGCCCTAAGCTGACAGTGTTGTGGATTTAAGCTACGTGCTCCTTGGGCCAGCCACATGCTAGTCACCCCACGGGTACTTCGAACGACTTGGTTGTAACGCGCTGATGCTATTGACACCACCACAACGCTGACGCCACCAAGGGCAAAGCTCATAACCACGCCTGCCTTGCTACTCCACGAATGCGGGAAATCTCTTCTTTCTGTTTTTGTTTGCGTCGGATATCCCATGACGCATCGCGCTCTCCGTTCGCTTCTTTTCGAGCACTTGCTCGAGTGCACCGTTTGGAACGACAAATATAGCCAGTCGTTCAAAATACAAACGTGCGATTATCATATACGGTTATTTTCCGTCATGCTTAACTAATTTCCGTACGAAATTTGAATATTTCAATTTTTGTTTCCATACCCCTTTAATGCCTCATGATCTTGTCAAGGGGTTTGAAAGGCTGTAGTGCTCTGCAAAACTGCTGGGATACAGTTGATTGATACAAAGCTTTCTGTAAACGAAGCTGATATTTAAGAAGCATTTGTGGAGAGATTAAAACAGGACCGGTTCAAATGCAAAAATGTTTTTAAGAATAAGTTGAAACAGTAAGGGTCAAAACGAAAAAATTGAGTTTAAATGAGAAAGATTGTAACACAAAGGGAGTCTCTCGAGAATCTGTTGAAACAAGAAAGCTTGAAATGTGAAGGGCGTTTTGAGATGGCCGGAGTTGAGATGAGAATGGTCAAAATAAGAAGGGTACAATTGAGAAGGAGTTAAACTAAAAGTTCAAATGCTTTTGTTTCGTATCGACATGCACCTGCTGGCGGTGGCTGTCGCTGCATCACAAGGCAGCCGAGTGTGAAGAGAACTTTTTGTGTGCCACTAACAAAAACAACAGAATAAAACTTTTCATTTGCATTGAACCACTGGTCGTCTCCACGCCGTAGTTTAAGTTACATTAGGCTGCAAAACTGATTGATGTTGTATCATGCACTCCTCCACGACCATCACTCAGAATTCAAAAAGGGTCTCTATTAGATTGCAAGTCAATCAATGCCACAGTATTCATTCCCAGTAGTTGGTCACCTGTGTCTTTAAAACCAGATCAGTAGAAGATGAATTATTTAATTTCAAAGTTACTCTTATAATTACTTGCTTTAAGTTACTCTCATTATCCAAGACCCAATCACCATTTACACTAATGAACCACACCTGATGAAGGTTAATGCAAATTAACTGGAATAAAAGTTGGGTTCTTGCCACAGGCACTCACTTGGCTTCTTGACTCTGAAAAGATGGTTGGAACAGCTGTTGCCTTCAGCTTCCTCCAACCGTCAAAACGCCTTGTCTGGTACTGCGAGGGTTCGAAGTGGTCCTGCAGCGGATAACGTTTTGGGCGACGTCAAACATGGGCATGCGGAAGCTCCAGTCGACGTATAGTTAGCTGACGAGGCTCGCGCACTCAAAAATGGTCACACTGGCGAGTTCGATGAGCGAGTCACTTGTCGAAAACATTTGCTCCAAACGCCGATGATTGCCTAGGCCGCTCCGCGACTAGATCGGACCGCAAAAAGTGGTCAGCTAGCGACTGCTCAAATTGCGTCGCTTTTTTTTTTTCTTTTTTTTTTTTTTCGCGATGGTCGTTTTTGCAATGAGTTATCGCGTGACTCGATCGCATCGCCGGTGTGAACGCGCCTTTAGAATTCCACCGTAACGCCCGATAAGTACGACGCCACAGGTGGACCGCTCGTCTTTCTGTGGTGCCGCGAAAGTCCACAGACGCTTCGAATGCACCAGACAATGTATTACAAAACAAATACTTCACGGTCTATGTCGGAGCGATTATTTCGCTGCTCTCGCGTGACAATATTAGCAATACCTTACCTGACAAACGTACGTCCAGGCAGAGGGATTCCATCCTGCGCCGCGTCCTATTCTATCCAGCCACAGCTTCCTCCTCCTGGGTGATTTCGGGAGCTTAAACAGCCGAACTCTCGCAGAACTTCTGTTCGCGCACCCCAGCACACAGCAACCGCCCATTTTTTCAAATGAGCGCGGGAGCGCCTGGGAGCGCCGCAAGGCCCGCTCTCAACTTTTTTTTTTTTTCTTCGTCACCCGGGCTCCAGTCGATCTCGCCGCACTGGCCGCACTACGCAGTTCGCTTTGCCCTGGTTTGAAACGCATGTTCGTTTATTCTACCGTTGAATATGGGCGTGACGACAACCTAACATGCGCCAAGTTTTCAGTCACTGAGAGTCACACCTTTTCACTCTAGCGACGCTAAAACGGCTTAAATTAGTCGTGTCACAAATTTAGAGCACACGACCACCGCTAGGGGCAGTTTCGCGGCCTGTGGTTGGCTCTGAGATGCTCGCCTATTCAAACCAACGTATGGCCAAACTCTCCCAATAAACGGCTCTGGATTGACTTGCCCACTGGCGCCACCCTGGCCTCGCTGTTTTCAACGGTTCTCAGGTTGCCGGAGCGGCGTTTTTGAACTGTTTGAACCACAGGCGCCACAGGTTTGAACCACAGGCACCACAGGTTTGAACTGTTTCAACGGGAGTAATGGCAAAACGGACGGAGTAGCACTGGGTTGCCTCGCAATCCCAGCGACCCGACGAGCTCGCAAAGCGGTGCTCGGAAGACGACCCTCCCAAAGCCGACGACGCGCACTCACCTCTGTGGACAGCGAAGAAACATCGTCGCACTGTGACAACGGCGACTAGTACACGGCATTTATTTTTTGTTGGCATTCGTTTCATAAAACCCGTCTATAAGGTATGTGTTCAATCTTCATTATTTTACCTGCGCGGTAGAACCGGCCAATATCTGAAAGCTAAATCAGCCTGCGCGTTAGAATCGTGAAAACACGGCAAAGCGAATCCACTGCGTCCTCAACCCCTTTTACCATGACACAGGATGTCGTAGCAGAGTCTTGCGTGTTTATCGCATCATAAAACGCAAATATGCCGTGTCCGCAATCCGCGGTATCAGTTCCCGTTTTATGTGGTTTGTAGCGGATAGCCCAGTTGCTTATCGCGTTTTTTAAAATAAATTTTTGCTGTCGCATTCCCAAAGATAGTTCACCCCATGTTTTTCCCAATTTATCTCTTCATTTTGGTTGGACATCCTTACGGGATTTTACGGTAGTTTTGCTTTGTCCTCTGCATAAATCAATGTCCTTTCCACTATTCAGGAGCTTGTGACCACCCTGAAAGGCTTGACGAGCTGCGTGCTCGTATTCAAGCTGGTGCCACGAGGTGGGCCTCTCGGGCATGCCAGGGAGGATGAGAGGCTGTCCCTGAACCCCCTACTAGTACAAAAAGGTGTTGCCCTCGGCGTTACCATCGTGAATGTCGACCGACGTAAGTACATGGAACTTTCACCCCTGGTGCACTGTCCACTTGAGTTACATGTGACATGCCCCTTGTGACGAGATGTCATCTTCCGTGTTATTGGTAGCCAGGTATTCATGATACCTCTGGAATGCTGTTCATTGAGAGTGACAAGGTTGGGCGGATATAGCCTAAAAAGCATTTGAAATGACAAATACTGGAATACACAGCAGTGACAGCTAAAGTACTGATACTAAAATACATTTATAAAAGGAGCATTGCAAAACAACTCAAATATGTATGACTAAAAAATGGGTGACAAAGTATCTTTAGATATGTTTTGTTTGAAGGAGAAATCCTGATACTGAAATATGGGGGGCAGTCAGTTCATTGAACGATGTTTCATTGACAGTTCGTTTCATCGACAGTTTGTTACATCGACAGCTCAGATAAGCTTTTTTTCTGTAGTGACTCCCCGGAGAATGTTGCTGCGAAGCAGCTTGAGTGTGTGGGCCTACTGATCTCTACTAAAGGGGGCTGGATGGCGCTTAGCTGCTCTCCGAGCCTGGCGCAAGTGAAGCCACGGGAAGTTCGATTCTTGTCCCGGAAGCTTCCTAGTGCATTCAGTCGATATTTTGGACCATGCTTTTTTGTTTCTTTGATTGGGTTTTAATACTCCCGTTCTGGATTAAATTCCGAGAATGAGGCATTTAAACTTGAGACATATTCACAACTTGATCAACTAGAATCTCAAAATGTTTACATTGAATGGCTTCCCATGATACTTCTCGGGTCCACATGCACTCTTACTGCGCAACAAGCAGGCTCTCTTGAGGGAACAAGCGAAAATCCAGCGCCCTCGACACTTTTCGAACCAGCACTCGGAAGAGTTACAAAGCCTGCCAAGCACTCACTTCCGGGACAAGCCGCTCACCTCCGGTGGCTTCATACTTGTTTGCTCAATGCGCATACATCTAGCCCTCTCTAGTGGAGATCAGTGGGTGGGCCTTGTCGTGAGGATGACGCCAGGCTCTATGCCGTTACATACCGAAGGCGAGTTCCTCTTCCACTGCTCTCACAAGTGGAGAATGAATTGGAAAGGATGAAAGAAATGGGAGTCATCAAGAAGGTGGAAAAAGCAACGGAGTGGTCCGGCATCCTGCGGTACAGTGACACGGCCAGCAGCCCAACCAAGGTCCTACATTGTAAGCACATCGACAGGACTAACACAACGCAACGGGACTCACATGCAGCCAACGGCGGTCACTAGGAGCGAATGACCAAGCAGACCACCGGGCAGGCTGGACTTCTTGGCTCCCTACTCCTAAAAAAGGGGGGTGTCGTGAGTGGCATCGCGAGCGACCGCCGACTGCAGCGCCGCGACGCGCCTATGCGCGGAGTACTCTCGCTCCGGGAGGCCACCGGACGGGGGAGAACGGCGCAACCATGCGAGGACATGGCTGTATGTCGCGACTACACGTATTGCCTTTAACCCGCAATAAACTGTTCTTGTTATACCCGAACAACGGCTACGACAGGCCTGGTGTGTTAATATTTCTGCAGTGAGCCGCCACAGACGGTCGCTGCAAATGACGTAGACGGGCGGGCCGGGTAAGTTAATGCATGCCCCAGTGACACACACAACGAAACATCACAACATCGTATAGTTAGCGTAACGATTGTCGATGGCATGTCAGTGTCGACCAGGAGCGGATTTAGAGGGGGGTTCCGGATGTCCTGACCCCCTCTTGATTTCTGCTTGTGTAAATTTTAGGGCGTAAAATGAAGGAGAGGGGGAGGGGGTCCCTAAACATATGGTACGCTGACCGACAGCTGACCCCCCCCTCAGGAAATTCCTGCATCCGCCCCTGGTGTCGACGAAATGTATGTCAATATGTCTTTTGATTAAAAGTTGTCGATGATATGTCTGTCGATGAAACAAAACAGATCCCAAAATGTAGGTTGCCACAGTAGCGGAGTTTGCTATAAAATGAAGCAAAAAATTATAGTCTGGGTGTAGCAAGCTTCATATTTTGTCACAGGTGTATTGCAGTGGTGGATGTTACCATGTGAAAGTTAAAGGCACTAATTTGTTTGTGCGAAAAATCGGAAGAATATATGCAAGATTTTCAGTTATGAATGCTGATGTTGACTGCCGAGGGTCGTGTTTCGTTCTCATGTTGAGAGACGGCAGAGCACATCACGGAAAGTAGACCGCACTGTTGAGCAACAGGTCTACGGCAGGGTGTCTCGACCCCAGTTGCGTTTTTCTGTTGTGGCTTTTATGTCTGCGTGCATGGCTATATTGTCACGAATAATAAATGGTGAGGCGGCAAATAACTGAAGAAACTAAACGTTTAATGGGGCGAACTTGTGCCCAAAACAAAATAGAGAAAGGCTAGCGTCACAGGCGTCAAAACAGCAGGATTGAGCGCTGGGAAGAGTCCGACTTCGCTCGCCATGCGGAGTCCCTTTTGTAGCTGCGTGGGTCTCTGGAACATTCGGCCTAGACATTTCGGTGCGTAGATTATTCGTAGCTCGGCCAGACAAACAATTTCTCGAATTTGCGAGAACGCCAAGTAGAAAGAATAAATAAAAGAACATTCCGCTGCCTGGAATCAAACCCAAATCTTCTGCGCTACAATCAAGTGCAGTAACCATTTGGCCACGTACGCGCTCGCTCAGCGACGTCCGTGAAAATATTAGAAGAAAGCTGTGTTACAGCAAGATTATCTTCAGCCTCGTCGGACTCGCCATCACGGGTTTTTCTAATTGCAGCACGTTGCTCCATCTCCCAACAGAAGCACCAAACATTGCTTTCGGCCATCTGCGTCCTGACACAGGTTGCTAATGCTTTGCAAAAACAAAGCTGCACCTTTCGATTCTACAAGGTAACACCCATCACTAATGTAGTTTGACAGAACCTTCAAGCTTGCCTTGTGCAGGTGCCACTCTTTCCAGAGAAGTATGTATAACGTGATATCAATAGCTCCGCTATTGATATCACGTTATACATACTTTGAGGTATTGTAAATGTCGTCTTCTGTGTTATTGACAACCAGGTATTACGATATCAAGAAAGATCACTCCAGCCATGTATATTACTTTTTACATATAGTATGCAAGCAGCACAGACCAAAAGAACAATTGCTAAACTCACTTGCATTTGTGGATGAGCTTTTCAAGTGATGTTCAATCAGTTAGCACCTGTCGATTTGGGCGGAGGGCCGTGGAGCATTATGTTAGCGGCTGTAAATATGCTCTCGACAGGTGCCGATAAAAATGGTGTTCTGTGGTTTATTTGTCTTCTAATCTTTGTCCATGCTTTACGCATTGCTTCTTTTACTATGGTCAACCAGCTTGCACAATTTTTAATGCCAACTTCATCTCCACATCAGTTTTTGGTCCTCCTAAATTATCTTGAGGTGCCTCCATGCTCTGATTTGGTGAGGTCGCCTTTTCAGTAATGATCTAGTGACGTCACAATGGAAGGAATCGCTGTTCTCTTATCTATTGATAGTATTTGAAAGCATGAACTCTGCTCCCATCCATCGATATGGCACGAAAGTGCAGAGCACACCTGTAAAGCTTGTGCTTGCAGTTCCTTAGATGTTCAGAATCTAGATGAAGCTTCAAGGAAAACATTTGAATGAATGAATTTAGAGTTCTCTGGCGCAGCAGCAACATAGGCCATAGTGCGCCAAACACAGGGTAAGGAAATATCACAAGGCTAAAAGTTTATTATTGCAGCGGGTCAAAATATCAAATATCACTTAAAGAAAACTGTAGTTTAAAGTCGATGTAAAATATTAAACTTTTCTAAAAAGTTAAAAACTTGTCTGTACGGAGTAACAGGCTCGTCTCCAAGCAAAAGTGCCAAGTGGAAAGGGATTTGTTTTCTGAAAAAGATTGAAAAGCAAGAGCGACGTTCGTTATCAAATTGTGGGCACACCAAAAGGATGTGAAGTACACTTAAAGTTTCTGAGCAGTAGTCACACATCGGTGGGTCGTCGTTTCTTAGAAGGTAGCTGTCAGTCAGGTGTGTGTGGCCTATCCTCAGTCGACATAAGATGACCTCATAGAACCTTTCTCGACGTCTGGCGCTGCGCCATTCACTCAAAACAGGTTTAACTTTATATAGCTTATTGTGAGGGTCAGAGTCCCACTCTACTTGCCAAGAATCTTTGATTTTATTTCGTAGTGTGGTTCTATAGTCTGTCACTGGGAGGGTGTGAATTTCAATGGACCTGTTTACACATGCACCTGCGGCTCGGTCGGCTTCCTCATTGCCGTGTATTCCTGTATGGCTAGGAACCCAGCAAAAGTGAATAGTGATGTTTTGCTTTATAGCATTCATTAATTTAACACGAAGCAGACAAACCAGGGGATGCTTCCAGGATCTTGCAGAGTTAAGGGCAAGAAGGGAACTGAGCGAGTCTGTAAATATCACAGATAATCTGTATTTTTGTTTGATTATTTCATCTACAATCACTAGGAGTCCATGAAGCTCAGCTGTAAACACAGATGCATTCGCGTTAATTCGAATAACACGTTGGTAGGACTGCCCAACCGCAGCGCAGCCAGCATAGCCAGCACCTTTCGTCCCATCAGTAAAAAAGCTTTTGTCCGTCTCGTAACGACTAGCAATCTCAAAAAATTCTTGTTTTATAACACTAGCGGCGGACACTTTCTTGTTGTATTTTGTCAAAGAGAGGTCGCATGTTATAGTAAGGTCATCCCAAGGAGCAAGTCTTTGTTCAGTTTCCATGACAGAACAAGATATGTCAAAACTATAAGTCGCTGCAGCATCCTTTACACGAAGTGCAAAGGGACGCGTTACGGATGGCTTGTTTTGAAAGGCCTGCTCATATTTTATGCTTTCAATCAAAGAAAAATTTGGGTGCTGTGGAAGAGTACGGAGTCTTAAATAGTACTGCATGCTAAGATAAAATCTACGTTTGTCAAGCGACCACTCACTTGACTCGGCATACAAGCTGGGCACGGGGGATGTTCGAAAGGCTCCGGT